TCAACGTTGTCTTCTCTTAGCTGTTGTAATCTTCGTAGGTACTTCCTCCTCAGTGCAACCATGTTCTTTGACTCACAAATTACATCTTTGGATGTTTTTGTCTTCTTGAAGCTGAAACCTACATTCTTCACAATGCGCCATAAAGTCTGTTCGTTGATATCCAAATCGTGATTGCTTTTCAAATAAGACACAAGTGCTCTAAGTGGGACGTATCGGTTTTCCCCTAACATCTTTCCAATTGCACGTCCCACGAGATCTCTGTCAAAGGTATCACATTTACCAGGTCGGCCTCTCTTTGTCACCTCGACATCTTCTGTTACATTTTCATCCTATATCCATCTGTTCAAAGTCCTGTCACTTAAATCAAGCAAATGTTTAGTTCTGCTAAATGGATCAGAAATTGAACGATATAGACGACCGCGATTTTTCTCTCAAGTGAAATAGCTATATACTTTCAGAGCAATGTTCTTGTGAGTAAAGAATTTCAGTTTGAACTTAGACTTCGTCTTTAATAAATCACAATATGATATTCAGCAAGTTAACAATTCAAAATATTAAAACTACACTGCCCAAATGGATTTTTTTTTAAAGCGTAGACGCCTATGACTCATGATAATGACCGACAGATGACAGCACCGGTCTCTTGTTCACTGGGCGGACACACGTGTGCGTGAGTAACAAAAGTGATTGTTTACCTCGATTAGCTAGAGGAAACAGCATTTGGGAAAACACTACTCACGATTTTCACGACAGTTTTGACAATACACAGAGTCGCCAAAGCTGTAATAAAGTTTAAATTTTGTCAGAAAAGACAAAAACATTTTATGCTTTCCTCAAACGTTAATTAAAAATGTATTATATCAGGTGCAGGGCGAGGATTTTTAAAAATGAGGGGATCAAAGTTGGTTTAGCCATGGCCATGGCAATCACAGTTGTATGATGAATAATGCATATTTTATTTATGTATAATATTTGTACAAGGGTGCTCTGGTTACACTGTCATTCCAAGATACTAGACATCATTACTAATTCAATACAAGTTTTATTGTAATCATGTGCTGAAAGTTGGACAAATTGTAAACCTCCTCAGATTTTTTAGAAGAACCAACACATTCGGCAACAATTTTGTTACAAGCTATAGTCACAGATGTTGACGAATAAACTCCTCCTCTCCACGAATACGTCACCTGATTACTGTACGACAGAGGCATCTGGGATCGATACCAGTCGTGACCTTTCTCAAAGTTCACGTCAAGGTCAAAGAAGTGCAGCTCTGAGTTGGCGGCCACGATATAGGGACTCATCTTGAGGAACTCGATGAGTGCACGTGTGCCGCACTTGCCAACACCTATGATGATTGCCTGGCGTGGGGAGAAAGGCGAGAATGTTTCCTGTATCATGATTGTCAACTGTAGTGAATCATGATTGTCAATTTTGGTAAATCATGACTGTCAAGTGTGGTAAATCATGATTGTCAAATGTGGAAAATCATGACTGTCAAGTGTAGTAAATCATGATTGTCAAATGTAGTGAATCATGATTGTCAATTTTGGTAAATCATAGTTGTCAACTGTGGTAAATCATGATTGTCAAGTGTAGTAAATCATGATTGTCAAATGTAGTAAATCATGACTGTCAAGAGTGGTAAATCATGATTGTCAAATGTAGTAATTCATGATAGTCAAGTGTAGTAAATCATGATTGTCAAATGTAGTAAATCATGACTGTCAAGTGTGGTAAATCATGATTGTCAAATGTAGTAATTCATGACTGTCAAGTGTGGTAAATCATGATTGTCAACTGTAGTAAATCATGATTGTCAACTGTAGTAAATCATGATTTTCAACTGTAGTATTAGGGTTGGGTGACGTGAGGGGTAAGGGGTGAGTGTTAGGATGGGGTGGGGTGAGCGGTGAGAATTAGGGTAGGGTGAGGGGAGAGTGTTAGGGTGGGGTGAGGGGTGAGTGTTAGGGTAGGGTGAGGGGAGAGTGTTAGGGTGGGGTGAGGGGTGGGGTGAGTGTTAGGGTGGGGTGAGTGT